CGCCACAACGCCTGGCCATTTTTTGGTTGCAGCCATCATTGTTGTTTGGCGGGCCCGGGCTTGGGATTCGAACCTGCCACCTTAGGTGTATGTGGCTGGTGCCTTAGCCGCTTGAGCCACAGGCGCCGAGCCAAAATCAGTTTAATTTAAAATAAAATCAATGCAATATAAATAAAATAATCATTCATCACCTAATTTTTTTTTTTTTACATTTCAACCTGCTATCGGCATAATGAAGTTTCCTATTCCTCATTTCAAATCTATGTACAGTAACTTTTAAAAAAGTTCTCAAGTGATATTAAACTTTAGTTGTACAGAGAATACTATATGCAGAGATGTTTAAAGTCCTGTGAAAATGATTGCTTTGCTTGATTTCTAATAGCTTTTGAGGAATAGAAACATTAAAAATTAAGTCACTGAGCTTTTCTTTTTGGAATTGAGTTATATGTCCTAGATCCAAAAATTAAAAATCCTTCATTTCTCTTTGATACTGCAAGAAAGATAGCAACCTATCTGAAACATATCACAGAGCAAAATATATCCCTGATTATCCAATTTGATGTTGCTTTAACATTTTTTAAACAGGGCTGGGCATGGTGGCTCTGCCTATAATCCCAGCACTTTGGGAGGCTGAAGTGGGAGAATCACTTGAGGCCAGGAGTTTGAGACTACCCTGGGCAACATACAGAAGATTTAAAAAATTATCCAGGCACGGTACCTAGTACCTGTATAGTCTTAACTATTTGTGAGGCTGAGGCAGGAAGATCCCTTGAGCCAAGAAGTTGGAGGTTGTTGGGAGCCAGGATTGCACCACTATACACATTCCAGCCCAAGCAACAGAGTGAGACTGTGTCTCAAAAAATTTTTTTAATCATATTAAAAATAATTCTACCTATACCCGGATGTATGGGGGCTGTATCTACATATTACCAAGACGTTCAGGTGAAACATTTTTGAGAAGTCCTATTGTTTTTATCTAGTGGCTCCAAAAACTATACATTTGGATACGATAATTCTAAAGGTTTAAAAAAATATGCAGTTGTTTAATGTAACGGAGACTTTGAGGAGTTCAAAGAAACTTAATCTTTTTACGGAATTCTTCTCAGATCTTTTGTGTCCCCAGGTGCTGAGAAACACCACTACATCAGTTTTTAGTCTGTACTTAAAGCTGCAGATCAGTACAGCACTCAAAAGTCCTAAGCTGGGGACAATGGCAGTAAACCAATATTTGCATCACGCTTTATAGTTCACAAGGTCTTTTCAGGAGCATTCTGTCACTTTGTTTCTTACACAACCTATGAAGCAGGTAGAATTTAAGGTAGAAGAAATGGGCCTAGAAATAGTGACAGCCGGTGCCTGTGGCTCAAAGCAGTAGGGCACCGGCCCATGTGCCACAGGTGGGGGTTCAAACCCAGCCCCGGCAGAAAAAAAGAAAAGAAATAGTGAGTGACATTGCCCAGGTTACATAGACTTGTGGGAAATGCCAACACTGCTCTCTGGGCTCGTTCAATCACCAGTTAACACATGTACTCATATCAGTCAGTAGAAAGAACTTGGTCAACCTATTTCATAGTTTGGGTTTAAAATGCAGCATATTTGTAATTCCATGAATTTTAAACTTTTCCATTGGTCCTGTTGACATTTGATAGACCAAGCTGTAAAAACAAACTGGAGCGGGGCCATTCCTTGCTCCCCTAACCCCAGTAAATCATGGCCTATGTCCCCAAATGTGCTCTAGTCACTGTCCTCTAAGGCAGGTCTCACATGCTGAAAGAAAGTAAACACTCTTTGAGAAGGAAACCCTTCTAAATCTTGGGGTTCTGACAGGGTCATTTGTAAGTCCTACTCCCCCAGTTGAAACAAAACAGGGAGGCTTGCTGTCTGCCTGTGTTTATAGAGTGTGGACTTTGTGTGAGGTATCCTGTGGAGGGCCTGGGGGGCCACACAGAGGTCTCTCCCAGAGTGTTGCGCACAGTAGAGCTTGGCGGCAGTAAGGAAGTGGCACAGGCCATTTCTCTTTGGGCCAGTACAATGGAGAGGCGGAGCTCCCAATGGTCTGACTGGCAGCCCTGGCAATAATGAATTCAGATCAAAAGTTCAGTTTCAAGCAGAGAGCTTCTGAGGCCTAGAACAAAGGTGTTTTATTCCCACAACCTCTTTGCTTTGCTGCTCTTGGCAGAGGGTCAGGAGGGCAGAGAAGGAGATGATAGCGCCTTTCAAGTTTCTGATTGCATATCATTAGCATCAGGGGCAAGGCATCTCAGCATTTCTCCTTCTGAATGATTTATCCTGGGCTCTAGTGTTCCCTCCCCCCCAATCCCCCAGGCATTAGGAAAGAGAGTCTCTAAGTAACTTTGGAAACTGAGACTGAAAGAATATATGGCCAATGAAAGGGGTGACTACCCGGTTGAATCATGAGTTAAATTCTAATTTATCAAGACCGAGAATCTGAATGCTACCACCTCTAACAGTTTCTTACTTGTTTTTTCAGGGATAAGACCTTGTGAATATGTCGAAACAGCCAGTTTCCAATGTCAGAGCCATCCAGGTAAGTAGGTATATTTGTGTTTTAACATCAGCTCTGCAACTTCTTGCCTGATTGATTAATAAGTCATACTTTTTGTGATTGTTCACCTGTAACTGATGATTAACTTCAAGAAGAAAAGAAAATTCCTCTTTAAAAGATTCAGAAGGTATAATTCAGGAAGGACATAAGACCAATTAGGTACAACTGAGAAAGGAGAAGCTATTTTTATTTAATTGTCCTAACTGTAAGACAATCAAAATTTATAAATGAGAATTAAATTATCTCCTACAAGGATGTAGTGTGTATTTTTTTTTGCTATGTATACTTTTGATATGCTCATTAACAGAGAATAAAATATTCAGTTTACATTGTATATCCAGTTGATAAATGTATATATCAATGGGTGACAGTTTGTTGACCCATCTGTTTAAAATACATTTTTCTTTAAATAATATCCTTTTGTACTTAAGTGTTCTTCCCAAGGCTTGAGGATTTATCTTCTAAAGTCCCTATGCTATTAGTTCTCCTCATACCCTCCCAGGAAACAAAATCTTTGGTTGTTTAAATTGACTTAAGTGTCACCCACAAAAAGGGAAGGGGGAAGCAGACATTTTGAAACAAAAATACAATTATGAAAATAACTTTCAGAATTTGTTTTTACTCAACACTTAATTTGTTATTTCTCTTAAGGGCTCTATATTTGACTCTCAAATGGCTCCTACCCTGAGGTTCTGGGCACAATGCTTTATTGTAAAATTCCATCTTTCCTTTTTATCAACATGGAGCCCATCTGTGCTTTCTCCAAAGGAACTTTTTTTTTTATCCTGGACTTTTCTGAATACTGCAGAGCATGTGACAGTTCCTGAATATTTTAGGTTGATGCATCATCTCAGCATAAACACAATCACAAATGGTTGACTGTATTTCAAAGGGGTGTGCACATGGCCAGGTTGTGAACACATCATGGGAAGTTTTAGAAATCCCAGCATGAGCTGCTGGAGGGGTGGGTGGAGGGACAGATCTTTTCCTGTTATAACTAATGCATATTCTTAAATTGGAGGGCTTCTTAAGTGGCAAGATATATAACAACCTCAGGAAACTTGTGATTGAACAAACCACCAAGGAGGGGCCTGTGCATTTGGCAAGGATTGCATTTTGCACTGTCAGGTTTAGACCTCTGGTGTCTACCTAGTGAGTCTGGAACATACCCGGACAGTGGTAGTGGAGTTTATTTTGTCTCCCAGACCTGTGAACATCCTTGAACCTTTGAATCTTCTCTTTTACAGGTGTTCAGGCAGTTAGGAGCATGGGCTCTGAAATCAGATTGCTGGGGTCCATAATCCAGCTTGTACTGGTGTAGGATCATGGAAAAATTACTTTCCCTCTCTGTGCCTCCATTTCCACAGTTGTAAAATGGGGAAAATAATAGTACTTATTTGCTAGGGCTACATGTATAAGATGCTTAACCAGGACAGTGAGCACTTATTGCGGGTCAACCATTACTGTAATTATTATTTGGGAATGCTTTATCTTAAAGTTATGAGAAATAGTATCATTAAATCACTGCATTTGAAGCTCCTAAAGTACAAAACATAAAATTTCCTTTGTATTTTGTGGGACATAAAAACCGTCTTTTCGTGGGCTGCTTTTGCCTCTCTTCCTTCTGTAGCTGAAAGAGTGTTTATTTTCCTTCCTTAGTGCTCCCTGACCTCTCTCCTACCTACACTGAAAATTTACCAGTATTTTCTTTACTAATTTTGACCTTGATATATTTTTAGAGCTGTATTATTTTAAAAGCTGCTATTGACCATTCTCAATAGCTGTTATTATACCGCATTACAAAAAAAGCCATCCATTCTATCAACCAAGGCAATACAGTGGATCCTTGTGGATGTGGTATTGCCTCTTTCAATATATTTTATGCTACACAAAAAGCCCAATTTAATGTACCTTCGAATGAAACATCCTTTCTTGTGGCTAAATACGATCGGTACCATCTGATATTTTCCTATCATCTTTGCATTAACTTTAAGTAGTGTACATTAAATAAAACATGAAAAAGCTACACAAAATGGTTTATAGTAGGAACATCATCTAGGTTACAGTTGTATCTGGAACAATTAGAAGCCCTGATTGATGAGAAACTACCTCTACTGTGTAAATGCCACTTAAAGCTCTTTGATGTCCTACTCAGTACTCTCTAGTCACTTCTTTTTATTAGGACCTTATCTCCAATTCAGTTCAACTGTCATTTCTTGGAGGCATAATATGTGCCAGGCACCGTGCTGCATGTAGGGTATATAAGGATGAATTCATACCTGTTCTTAGTCTCATAGTCTTTAGTCCTTACTAGCTGCATGGCTTTGGAAAAACTGTTAGCCTTTTTTGCCTCAGTTTCCTCATCTGTCTAGAAAGGAATTAATAGCAGTCTTTATCTCATAGGATTGCCATGAGTGTTAAATGAGTTTAGTGCTTGGCTCATTGTAATTGTTTAAGAAACATTAGCCGTTATCATCAATCACCATCATCATTATCTAGTTCAACAGTTCCCAAAATGGTGTCCCTCAGAATACTAGTTAAATGGGATGTTGTTAATTAGATTAAAGGTTTCCATGATTAAATGTTTGGGAAAATCTCTAAGAGTCCTTAACTTGCTGATAGCATCATGTTATTTCCAAGAAGGTAGAAATATGGGCAAGGTTTTCTAAACATATTGGACCTTTTCAGTGGGTATCTTACAGGATAGTGTTTTGCAGTGTAAACTTCTAGAAATAAAGACTTTAATTTCTATTTTGTCTGGTTTGGGTGAGCTAAGCCACTTTAGACCATACTTCTAGCAGTCAAATATTTCAGGAATTGAATTACTCCACCTATGTGTGTCAGACAATATGGAATCAGTTACAAATCTCTGTGACCTTATTTTATCCTTAGTTTACCTTTCTATAAAATGGGGACAATAATACGACTTAATAGGGGTGTTAAAATGAATAAGCAAAATAATGTATGGCAAGTACCTTGTTTACAGTACACAGATTCCTTAAGAGAAGGCTCTTCTAACTACCCAAGCAATGCAGGGGATGGGCTTGCTTCCTCTTCAGCTAGTTTTCTCTTCTTCTCCATGCACCAGAATAAGAGGAAGGCCAGAGCTAGACCCACCCTTAGAAAATATACACAGTTGTCTTTCCCATCCACACTGAGGAAGAGATGGCCTTCGAATTGGTCTTTTTTTTTTTTTTTTTGAGACAGAGTTTCACTTTGTCACCCTAGGTAGAGTGTCGTGGCATCATAGCTCACAGCAAACTCCTGGGCTCAAGCAATTCACTTGGCTTAGCCTCCCGAGTAGCTGTGACTACAAGTGCCTACCACAACGCTCAGCTATTTTGTAGAGATGGGGTCTCACTCTTGCTCATGCTGGTCTTGAACTTGTAAGCTCAAGCAATCCACCCGCCTCGGCCTCCCAGAGTGCTAGGATTAATATCCTTCGAACTGTAAAGGGACTCTAACTCCACACTTCTTTTCAGATGTATTAATTAAATCTCAGGCAGGGGCAGGAAAACATCCTGCAGGGATGGGTTAATTCTTCCTTAGTCTAGAGAAGGCCTTCGTCTCCTAAGCAGCTGATAAAGTTCTATGCCAGAGGCTGGCAAATTCTTTGTATGAAGGGCCAGATAGCAAACATTTTAGGTTTTGTGGATTGTTTGGTCTGTTCCAACTACTCAACTTAGCTCTTATACCACAAAATTATCTGTAGGCAATATGTAAATGAATGTACAGGGCTGTGTTACCATGAAACTTTATTTACAAAATCAGGTGATAGCCTGGATTTGGTCTGTGAGTTGTAGTTTGCCAACCCTGCTTCTAGACTCTACAGACTTGCTTCTTACATATACCACTGTTGATGGGAATGGAGTTGCTACCAAGGTAACATCAGCACACTTGGCCTACTGGGGCTGCTCCCTCCAGATGAAAGAATTTGACATGACAGGTGGTAGGGAAAGTTAAAACTGCTGGGAAATCCAATCCTATCAGCGATCTGGTTGGTGACCCTCTCTAATGAGACCAAGTGACACCAGCCACTGGCAGCACCTGCCTGTCCTTCCTCTTCTTCCTGAACACATCCCCTTTGGGAACCACCACAAGCCTCCCCAGGGCCTCATTTCACACAGAGTCAATCTTCTCCGGGTAGTCACTCGTCCTTTCTCTCTACCACTGACCAAATAAGCTGAATATCTATTATGTGTCCTCTCTTGTGAGATCTCAGACCTTAATGGCTGACCAGAAAAAGAGTCCCAGGCCTTAGTCTTAGCTCTGCCATGTGACTTCACCCACCCTGGTTCTTGTGTCTGCAAAGGGACAGTGTTGGGTTACATGCTCTCTAAGGCTCTTTCAGGTTCTAATACTCTATAAACTTCTTGAGAATAATTTTTAAGGCTTATTATTAGGATGACAATAATAGCTTATTCAGGGTTTACTACATACCTGGCCCATGCAATGGGATTTCCATGGATCATAATGAGAAACAAAATAAGTCATTTAGGATTACACAGCCCCTTAACTAGGAGAGTCAGGACCCAAACTCAGTTGTTCAGTCGGATACCAAAGCCCTTGTTTGCAACCACTCGGCAATGCTGTCTAATCACATTACTTAAACCATCTCCACCTTGGTGCAGAGCATAAGGCTGGAGGAGTGGATATGAACCATCTCAAGGGTAATCATAAGTATCAAGGCTACTTGAGAACAATTACCCTTTTATGGATGCTGGCTCTTCCCTTTTAAAGAACTCAACCAGGCATTTAGAAACGCTGTCAGAATTTGAGTGAAGAGGTTGATAGCCCACACTGATTGACCTCAGTTTAAAATTGTCTTGGAGTGAAAAGTACAAAGTACTTTTCGTGACTCAACGATAAACATGACCTTGAAATACAAATGACCATGGCCACTGAATCACCACCTCTCAGCTGCATTGACTTAATCAAGCTGCTTGTGAAACTAAATCTAACTTCTTTATCAAACATTTAAA